AGGGGAGGAGGTGTGAACCTCTTAAATCAAATGTGCAGATAGTGATGCAGGAATGTGAAACCACAACCTAATGAACAACAGATAACAGCCTTCAGGCAATAACACCAATGGGATTATGGATGAGGTTAGTGGCATTAATACTTAATGAATGTACATATTTTAAATATTTTCACAAGTAAATAAGTTGTGAAATTTTCCCATCTTCAGGTAAAATAAGTGTTTGGTTTTCTGTTGATTTTAGGCAGAGTTATTCCAAACACAATTCTCTAAAGGGATTTGATACTTGGATGCAGAATCTGCATAGAGCCTCATGCTTGTCTCCACCTACAGAGCAGTTGCAGGTGTTGAAGTTGCTGTAAATAGTCCTGAGACCAGTATTATGCGTCTGTAGGAGGGCTTGGTCGCAATGTGAGAAATCATTAGCCCTTCTTGTCAGTTGTTAGGGAGCTGGAGCTGTCCCAACCTCTGAATCTACTCTGTGTATCATATGCTTAACTGCTGAAAGCCATACAAATACTAAGGGTAGCTGCAGGGTCCACATGCCAGCAGCTGCTCCGGTAAACAAGAACTGCAGCTCGCTAGTCCTCCAAGGAGCACTGTGTAATCTAGTGGTAAAGGCCACTAATAAATGTCACCTAGTCAGTCTATGATCTATAACTATTTACCACAGTTCATGCTGTTTCATGACAACAGCCTCCATAAAGAAGGTTTCAGGAAAAGTTTCAAGGCAGGCTATCTGCAGTTTTTCCGTGAGGGCAGCTAGGCTGCAGTTGGAATGCAAACTGCCAAACTAGTTAAGTCCTATTAACTGTAACAGGTTAACTCCCTGGCAGAGTCATTTTAAAATAAAAGCTTTGGCAGCAAGTCTTTCTTGCCTACAGTGAGTTCTTCCCTCTGCACTTGTTCTTTCAGCTGAGCACCTCTGAGTTGCCTGCTGCACTGCAATAAATTCCTCCCAGACTCCTCTGGCGCTGGGAAGAGCTCTCCTCTGGCAGTACAGGCACCTCCTGCTCCTCTTGGGTGCTCAGGTTGCATCACCCTTCTCTGCTTTGTCTTTCCCTCTTGCTTGCCTCACCCTGTTGCCACAAGCCGCTGGCAGTTCTATGTGCCCTCTGCTCTTTAGGCAGCAGCAGCGATACTGCCTCCTGAAAGGCTTTGTCTGACAAAAGCACCCAAGACAAAGCAAGAAACCCACCTTTCTCCCTGTTGCCCAGTCACAGCCCTTTAACAAAACATTTTGCTATATAACATACCTTAATATTAGTATAGTAAACTGTGAGCAAACAGATGAGATCACTCTGCTGTCCATTACAGAAATTTACAGAGCTGCACTGAGCATCATCTGCTCTACTCAGAAAATTTAGTGGCAGGATCCAGAGCTTACGGTGCTACAGCAAGTGCCAGGGTGCAGCTGAGCAGAAAGGGGCAGGAGTCTGCAGGCTGAGGGGCAGAGAGCAAATGGAGGAGCAGAGCAGAGTGGGAAAGAGATGATGTTGAGAGCAGAGGAGTTCAAGGGGAGCTAATAACTCTACATAACCTTTTCTTAATATAGCAGCGGTGCTCCAGATGTAGAATAGTCTGCGCAGGGTAGCAGAGACCTCTCATTAGAAAGGGCAACGCTTCAGGTCTGAGCCAGGCTTTAACAAATGATTCCTGTTTCAGGTGAGCGCTGCTGACAAGGCTGTTCTGTCAAGACACAGAGCCCAGCAGGCCTGTGTTGCTGTGCTCTTGTTGTGCCTACCAACTGGGTCCCACCATATTCACGGGCTCAGCTTCCCCCGACTTCATGAGGAGCAGCATCTGACCTCTGTGAACATCCATCTTTCCACAAGCATAAGAGCAGAGAGTAAAAGACAGAAATCGTATCACATAATCCCCAAAAAATTGGCAGAGGCCTGGAGAAATAAATTGAACATAAAATAAAGAACATAAGCAAAAAATCATCATAGCTATCTAGAAATAGAATTGAAGGGAGAAGGTCACCAGTATGGCTAAGAAAAAGTCTGAGCAAACTACAAGAGACAAGAAAGGCATTAAACAGATAAACAGTGGCTGCAGGAAGCTACATGAGTTCTTTGAACTGTTTCCCTATTGTTCATGGTGGGAGGAGGGTAAAAATTCTTCTGGGAACTCCCTTCAGGTAACCAAGGCACAGCCGTGGCATGGAGCGAGCTCTCTGAGGAAGAGGTGTTGGAGCAAGTAGAGACACTTATTAGCAGTCACTCCTTGGGGCTTAATGTTCTTCTGAGAGATGAGAATGAAGTGGAAACAAAGAAAGTAGCTGAACTGCTGCTTATCAGGACAAGGCATGTGACCAAGACCTAGTGGGTGGGTATATTCTGGCTCCTGTCTTTATAAAGGGAATTTACAGAGTGCTGGTACCATTTCAGCTGAAAGGAAAATTTCTAGATAAAAGTTACTAAAGGCAGGTTCATAGCCTCTATAGAGGCAGCTAAACAAACAGAAAAAAATAATGGAAGTGCTACTACTGCTGCTAGTTCCTACAAATAATTGCACGTAGGATGCCAAGTTATCTTAAGTAGTCTAGAAAGCAAGGAAAATAGTAGGGAACTTATTGGCACTATGTGTCTGTTCTCCTCCTGATAGTGATTGAAGTCTTCCAGAAAATACGCTGCTTCCCCTTGCCCTCCCTATAGCACAGCTCACTAAAGAGATATTTGTAGGAAAGGAAAATTGGGCGATTTATTCGTGCCATGGAGCAGGTGATTAATGAATGCTTTTGAATTACCTTTGGTGACACAATTACAAAAGTTAGCATTCATGAAACTATCACCATTTTAAAAATAAATGGCAAGTCCTTGATGCTTGTGGCCTCCCACTGCAGCGAAATGCACAAGCCAACGGTGGCCCTGGAAGGTATCATCCTCCTGGTGTCCCAGGCTGGCGGCTCCCCGCTCTGCCCTAGCCTTCCTGCAGGAGGGCCAGTGGCCTGGCGGGCCACGCGCAGTTCTCCTTCCTTACCCAAAGAGTAAGGGATTTGGAGCTGACCTGCTCGGTTTCTGTCCTTTTGAGCTTCCTGTCCACTGTAAAAGAAGAACCTGCCAGAGTGCCAAGGGCTTCAGGTTGCTCCTACGCCAACACAAATACAGAGTGGTTTCATGAAATCAAAGTTACAATGCTGTAAGGGCAGTGAGAATAAAGCCCTAAAATTGTCCTTAATGAGTTTAGATTGGCTTCTTCCCTACCAGGTTGCTGTGGGCAAGCTAATAATCACAGAAACTGTGCAGAGCCTTGAAATGGAATGGATTAGCTGAGCTTAACAAACAAGGTACCTCTCTGTTTCTTAGGCCAGATTTTGTGCGTAAGTTAGTATGAACTAATATTCATTGATGTTCTTCGTCCAAACAGTACATGCTTGTTTATACCTCATTCCTACCATTAGATCAGCTGGGCAAACAGCCTCTTGCTGCACTCTACTGTGGTTAACAGCAGGCAGACCCAGCCTGAATCCTAGATGGTGAATTTCCATAGCTGACCGCTTGTGCCTCACTCTTCTTAGCACAAATGAGCTCGCTGTTAAAACAACTATACTGGGTTAAACCAATTATCTACAACTATACTGAGTTAAAACAATGAAATGCAGAGAAACTTTGGGTTTTTTATAAATAAGCTAAGCTTTGAAAGGCTCTTATTGCTACAAACTGTTTCCTAGTTTCTGCTTAAAATGCTTTTTCCTCAGGTGATGTATTTCTACCAAGTAATCATGCCTTTTTCATTTGGCAAGCACTGGTTCCCCCAACTCCCACCCCTTCAGTTTTGTACAAAGCAAAAATTAACATGGTTTAATTGGCAGCGCAAGAACTGTTTATCCAGGCGTTCTTTAACTGGGGAAGTCCTACATGCTCAGATTTGCCATTTTTTGTAATACGTGCTTCACTCTGTAACCAAAGTTCTCCCACCCAGAAACTCCTGATATCAGAGGTCCAAGTGGTGGCCTGATTACTGATAGTAAACTGATAGTATGCAGAGCACTTAAAATGAGCCATGTCTCAGTACAGAGCTGGGACCTTTGACAGTCAGCGTTGCTACTTGTTTCTTCCAATGATCTTACCAGACAAGAAACATTTCTAAAGTCCTGACCTAAAACTTGCTCTTCCCACGCACGTACTCCTTGGTCTATAATGTGTAGATTATCTGTTAATCTTCCGTGCTCCCACTAGGTCCAGATCGTAACACTGCACTTTGATGTATTTGCAGGATTGCAGCCAAAATGAAGTTTTATGGCCACAGTAGCTGTTTTAAGTTAGGAACCACCCCAGTAGCAACATTTAACTACCACTGTAAGATCACAGTGAACTGGGATGATGAATTTGGGGGTTCATCAACTTCTCTTCATGTTTCAGGGCTGATATTCACATGGGTAAGTAAAAAAAAGATAAGGAGGCTGTAGCTATCTCCAGATGGCTCGAGAGGTGATGCTTAATACATTTCTACCCTGTGGACCACTAAGGACTATTTCCAAGAGACCTAATGATGTGACTAAAAAGCCCAAACCCACTGCCCATAAACTTGACCACCCCAGTAGCAACATTTAACTACCACTGTAAGATCACAGTAAACTGGGATGATGAATTTGGGGGTTCATCAACTTCTCTTCATGTTTCAGGGCTGATATTCACATGGGTAAGTAAAAAAAAGATAAGGAGGCTGTAGCTATCTCCAGATGGCTCGAGAGGTGATGCTTAATACATTTCTACCCTGTGGACCACTAAGGACTATTTCCAAGAGACCTAAGACCTAATGATGTGACTAAAAAGCCCAAACCCACTGCCCATAAACTTGCATTCAGGGTTCCAGATCTTCACTAAGTGTCCACAAAAAGGTTGAAATCTGTTAATAGAGATGAAGGACAGTAATCAGCCACCATAGGCTATCGCCATGAAAAACAGGAGAAGCATCAGTAATTTTTTGACAGCAGCGAGATCAGGGCCCTTCGCATTATTTAAACGTGGCCTCTTTGCAATATTTCTGTCTTGCAGAGAAGTTGTTACCTTCAACCACTTCCTGGAAGAAGCAGCGGAAAAAGAAGTGCGGGGAAAAGCCAGGCTCCAGCACTTCATTGAGAACCTGTTGCAGCGCGTGGATCTGGCAGAAAGGCAGCTAGAGTATTACCAAAATCAGCAGATGGTGTGCAACCACACCGACATCAGTGAGCACATGGTAAGCCAGCAAAGTCCTTCCCTTCATTGTCACCCACCACCGGAGAGAAAGTACTTGAGTTTAAATACAGGTGGGATCAGTGGGTCAGGCTAATTGCTACTCCCAGCAGATCTGGATTTGTAAAATGTTTATTTAGATGTGGTTTATTTATATTTTAAACTGCCAGTTCACATGAGTGAAGGAGCAGAGTGTAAGAGCAGCAATAGCCAAAGATGGCAAAGGGAGAGCAGGGAATAATGAAATCTTTGCCAGATACTGAATTTTTTTTTCCAGCTTTGGCTATTGCTGCTGTTACCTTTGCAACAAACACTTCCTTTGTGTCACTTAGTGACTTGGCAGTTTTTTGGAGATGTCTAAAGATTTTCAGGAAAGTTGTGGATCCCTACAGAAGACATGTCAGCCTGCTGGCAAATCAGCTTGCTTTGTGTAGTTACCTGTCCTAGGACTCTTAGAAATGGTGAATGGATTCCCGCAGGCCTATCCCCCACAGATTAGAAACCAAAGCTGTCTGAACATTGTTTTTTAAAATACATTATTTCTTTAAGAGCCCTCATCATTAATACGTAAACTCAGTATTTTCAGCATTACATTTATATGGCAAGTTTTATCCACGACTTCCAAAGAACATTTCAGTTTAAATGAATACCCCATGCTGCCTGTGCTAAGTAACTGCTCATCCTGGGAGGTGAGAGGAAAGGGATTTGATCATGCACAGCACTGAACAGGTATGTAATGGTGGAAAGCAAAGGTTCCCATAGCCACTTGGAAGACAAAGGACTTTAGGCAAGACCTGAATAAATGTAGATGTGCTGAAATCTAGTGCCGGACATCTCAAACAGTGTCTGGGAGAACACTGAGGGGGACTGTAAAGATGGGCTTCAGTACTAAATCATCTTCCCTGCTCTTGATGTGTTTACCGGGATCCCTGGCTCAGCAGTGTCCCTTGGGGAAGGCACTAATTTTTGAGGCAGCTGCCCTGCTTTCTGAGTGACTTCAGCATTCCTCTACGGTCATCCATCCAAATATTGACCAGCCTGACCTTCAGGAGGTAATTACAGAGAAGCACACCATGAGATGGCTCCAGACTCCATCCAAGACAGATGACAAGCAAAGTTAGGCTGGGCAAAAATCCATCTGCAAAGTGTGGACAATACCAGGGACAGAGGGAACATTTACGAGAACATAATCATTTTCAGATGCCAGATCTGACTTGCTTGGCTCAGTGACTTCATGAAATGATATTCAAAGGCTCAGTCTAGTAGCACTGAGGGGAGATCAGTACAAAGAACTGATTTAGTACCCAGACCAATTTAGGCTGAGCTGGCATTAAACACCTCCTTTCCTGACCCCCACTAAAACAGGGACTAGACAAAGCATTTCCATGCTGTGAACCAAACTGTTGTAAAAAATGAAGTCATGCGAAGTTGTGCTGGCACTGAGGCTATGCTTCCCTAGCTGGTCTCAGGATTTGGGGTGGGAAGGGAGAGAAATCCTTGCATTCTCGCCCTCCACCCTTCCGTGCCGCTGCAGGCAGAGCCAAGGGCTCGTAGCTGGAGTTTCCTAGCCGCTTGTGTAAAGGAAATGCATCACTGCAAAATTAAAGGCTCTGAGAGGAAGTTAATTTAATACAGCTTATTCAGGCACTGTCCCTTATTAATTATCTTGAACACAATAATTACTTCTCATTGTATCCGTACTGTTTAATCTAATGTGAAAGATCTCTGTTCAGCCCACACTTCTTTAGCAATTTACTTTGATTATAGTTATGATAAAAATAATGGGGAAAAAAATCCAACCACTAACAACTCACACGTTATGAATTTTAAAAACAGATGTAATAAATTGGAGGAGTAATAATCTGTAAAAGGGTTGGGTTTTTTTTCCGTTTCTTTGATGAATATTATTCTAGTTTTAACAGCAGGTGAGAATGGAAATATGATTTTGAAGACTGCATATATTTTATCCCTGTACTTTAATTACTTGATAATGTAATATTAATATTAATAACCTGTTTCTCTTTTCTTTGCAGTTTACAGACATTTCATTAAATAAGAAACCCAGATGCCTGTATGTATATCCTTTTGTTTTTCTCTTACTTAAAGATACTAACTTGAGATGCTTACATTTCTGCTTTTGCATGTCACCTTATCCAAAAGCCTGAATCAGGTTGGGTTTGGATCAGGTTCTATACCTGAGTATGATCTATGTTTATGTCATGTAATAGAGCAAAAACAGATTTCTGCTAAATTAAAGCTAGAATCAGATATTCTGTAAAGAAAAAAAAAAAAGAATAATTTTCTGTTC